AGCGAACTGGATTACGGCCACGGTATATCGCGCTTAACTTTAAAAGCCTGATTAAGACCCTGACGCGTATCCCGCCAACGGCCGTATTATCCCATCCCCGCGAGCTCATGCTTCTAATTATCGAATCCACTGCTAGACGCGGATACTTTTACCCGTGGGATTTTTAATTGTGCGTGAAAAAATAGAGAACCGTCTGGAATACGAGTAAACGCGCCGACGAAAAATGTCTGTCTGGTTAATAGGCCCGCCAAACGTGATCATGCGAATTTAATTTATTAATTGAGAAGAGAAATGAAGAAATGGAGAAATGAAGAAATGGAACTCTTGTGAAATTTTGTTAACCCTCTGCACACCGAATTATATTTCAATTTCGTTGCCAGCAGCTCCCAACGCTTTTAAGTGTTTCATTTAAAATTTACTTTAACTAAAAAATAAGGCAATTTAAATAAATAAAGGAAAGAAACAAATTCACTTAAATACCAGTCTCATTCTCACTTTTGTTGTATTTTGTAAGCTTCAAGTGTATGTCTCTTGAAACAATTTCATTCCGTAATGATTTGGACCTGAAAGAATGTCGAGTGGGACTCGGCATAGAAGTGCAAAGGGTTAATATTGATTTAACCCCACTCTTTTGTGGCATTGAAGACAGCAAAGAGAAAATTTTTGCGTATATATTTTATTTATTACGTGGCAATCTGAACGGTTTATCTTAGAATTTTGTTGAGGGACGAGTTTCCAATGGAAGGAATCGTCCTGGGGCGTCTCGGCGATAATCAAGTTTGATCAAACGAACGACGACGCCCTGGTCAATGCAATTATTGCTCCGTGGAGAATGGAGTCGCGGATCCGTGGCTTCTTGCGGCTTTTCCGCTTTGCCCTGCAGCAATTGAAAGCGCTCCGTGGCACCCGCTATCCGACGCTGGCTAACGGAATCGAACCTCGATCCTCGAACCACCTTCGAGGCACTTTCCTCCTCGCTGCCCACTCGAACTCATTTTCTTCCATAATTACGCCATTTCCGAGGGACACGGTGTGCGTCGAGGCGCATGGGAAACGAACATGAGGCTTTCCAGTTTTTCCAGTTTAATGGAGAGGAGCAGGAGACATACCCAACACGTTGAGTGGTATTTGGAACGTCTCGTGAGGGTATTTGTTGATCGCGTGTCTTCATTTCCGTATCTATGTAGTTTATGAAGACTGACAAGGACAAGGCCTTTGTGTCATTGATTTGCGTATTGGTAGTTTTCGTCATACTATTTGTAAAAATACAGAATTACAGAGGTAGAAACTAAATACATTTTTGGATATTTATGATTAAAAGTTCGTTAGTATATTATAACATCGTGCATGTGCAAGGACAACGCCAGTGTGTCATCGATTTGCGTACTGGTAATTGCTGTCGTTCTATTTGTAGAAATACAGTATTACAGGGGGTAGAAACTCGATACATTTTTGGATATTCACCATTAAAATTTCATTAGTATAATACAACATGATTTTGTAACTGTAATCGCTAATTGTAAGCGTAACACACAGAAATCATGTAAGAAATCCCAACATCGCATTCCATTTATATGTAATTAATTCCCAAGGAAGACTCAACGAGCTTCAACAGCTCAAGACTTGGAGCAACTCTCGAAGAAGACGTTACTTTCTAGCTACTTCCAACAAAACCCTAATCGTTCATCATCACAGACGATGTAAAAAACCTTCCCCACCTCGTTAAGACTATTTCGTACGGTTTTCCGTGTCGCCCCTCGCACGAACCGCCCTGTCTTGCTAGGCGTAATTATTATTTGCTCGTAGACAGATACAGGTAAATGGAGCGGAAGGTGTTAGCCGTGGGACGCGCTCGAGGATCGTTTCACGGAAGACCAGGACGATCGTTAATCACCTCGGGTCGTGCAAGGTACACGCAAAAACGAGTTCGTCCTTTCGGGCGTCGCGTGGGCGAACGCTCGTACTCGTTTCGCGCGATAATTCAGTTCCTCGACGGTGAATCGTGGCGTTATTCGACATCCATCATCGATAGACGCCAAGGCGCATAACTGGGTGCAACTGACAACAAGCGCCAACAGATGCGCGAAGAGGCGCCATTATGCGGTAACATTAATTACAGGTTGGATTTCTACGAGACTCCACGTCGTGGAAGCCGAGATTAATAACGTCGAGTGATAATTAGATGAACAGTTGCGATCCCCAGTGACCTTGGAATGTGTTGAATACTGTGTCGATCCGATTAGACGGAATGGGTACTGCGACTATAGTCTATGGGGGACTTTTGTGATCGACGGAACGGTTCGTTTTGTTTAGTTTATCGGCGAGATTAGTCACTACCTTTATTGATATTGAATGGAAGCTGTCAAGGGTAATTAATCATCCGGAGTGGAGCATTCTAGATGGGTATAGGTGCTTCAGAAGATCGAGTTGAAACTCTTCAGGAGTCGTAGAGCAATTTTTAGATAGTTTTGCTACAAGCTGGTCGACCCTTGCTCAGATATATCTTGAAATTCAGCGAAAAGTCGACTGTACAATAATATAAAAATAAATTGATCTCTCCTCGTGAGTCGCACTGTACACATCCCGAGTCCATCACAGGAAGTAAGAAGCTAAGTTTGATTTCTCACTCCGGGAAATCACCGTTCATAAACTGTTGAAAGTTCCCTTTCATATTCTAAGCGTTCAATCGAACTCTCTCATTCAGGGTACGATGCATGTTTCCGCAAAACATTCCAGTGCGCGTTTAACAGATGAGAAGGAGAGTCCGTGGCTGCTATTAGGAAGAGTTAATGCGCACGCGCGTTTGTCTGAATAACAGAAATTACGCGAGCCCCGAGGGTTGCATTACTGACACCTATCATAGTGATTACAGCGAAACGTGTGCTTATTGAGAGGCGCGCGAGGCGGTGTCAAACGGAAGAAGGGAGAAACGATGTTCTGGAACAATCTATGCCGACCAATTATCGACTTTATCGTGAACTAAACGGTGGATCATTTAACCCAACCTGTTCGTCATTCTTCGAATCATTAGTCAGTGTTTTATATTTAATGTGTACTGACTCGTAGAAAATCTTACAATCCGATATATTCAAGCTTCAAGCTGATAAAATTTGTATACACACTTCATTTGGATGAAGTAAATGTATAGTATGGCAGTATTTATTTATAAACAAGCTTCTACTTTGGTAACTTCTAAAATATAGTAAAACATTAAGTGAAGCTTGTTATCTCAAACAAATACATATTCACAAGTTCACTATGGACACTTTGAACACCTAACAAACATAGTCCATTTGGACCCAGTAAATGTATAGTATGACAGTATTTATTTATAAACAAGCTTCTACTTTGGTAACTTCTAAAATATAGTAAAACATCAAGCATAGCTCGTTATCTCAGACAAATAAATATTCATAAGTCCACAATGGACACTTTGGACACTTAACAAACCGAATACCTCAAAGATTAGAGAGTTGCAAACTGAACGCACGTCCTCAGGATCAGCGTCGATAGTTCAATTCCTATTTTCAAAAATCCCCGGTCCACTTCCAAAATGAATCAAAGCTCAGACCACCTCTCGCAAAGGGTTAGAGCCGTCGAGGTCGATGTTAAAGAAGGAAACCCGTCGCAGCGTAGAAAGGAAGTCGCTGAAGTGCAACGGATGGAACACGAGTAAAAGGCGAGGCCAGAGAGGGCATCAGCGAAGAAAAGTACGGGGATCGTCGTGGAGAAACGGGAGGAACGAATTCATCGCTCTATGAGAACCGAACTGACACGGGTCGCAACGCGTTAGACCCAGCCTCTACGGCGTTCATCTCTCTGCACATCTCGTTCGCATCTTCGCGGTCTTCCCGCGGCGCGTCTCGCTGAGACATGACTCATCCCGCCTCTTCAGTGTTTTCCCATGATCCGAGGGCTTCGTGGACCTATGGTCCGTTCGGTGAAAGAATAACCTTGGTTGGGGGAAGAGGTTCCAGGAAGCCTGGCCACTTTCATCCAATTGCAAACTGGCAGTCAATAGGCACTAAGTGACTGACAGTTTTGAAACTGTTAACAGATTGACCGGCATGCTGGTTAAGGGTGACTGACGTTTGTTTTAACACTAAACCTACATTCATTTGTAACTACTTTTATCGTGATGCGACAAATGACTGGTCTTAAACACTCTATTTTCAATTAAATACAAAAATATTTTACGTGCTACTAAATTGAATAAAACACGAAACAATTGTATATAATTCGTACATAGCATATAAGAACTGTAAATAGAATTTGAAAACGGTCATTTTGCTATTATGTTTCTTGGAGATATTTTGAATGAATGAAATGCAAGTACATCGACGGGCTACTTGATATTTATGGTCTGCAAACTTTATAAATAAAGAAAAAAAATTAATTTCCTCTTCGAAGGATAGAGTAAAATCATGCAATAGAGGAAAACTAGTCACCACGAGCTTTTCAGCGCACGGAGAACACGTGAACTAGTGGCGCCACTAGTGCGCTGAAATCATCGTGCCTTTGCCATACTGGACCTCTTAGGCCCTCCAAAGGCTCCTCCGACGGTTTCATATTCTGTCCGCGGTCTGTCTGACTCATTTACAAGGATTCCCTCGATCTCCAGCCGCGATTAGGCCAAGTCACGCGTGGCAATGATCTGATTATGGTCTCCGCGATTCTATCGGTTGTCCTTCGCTGTCCGTCTCGTTGTGAAACGACGCTGTTTGGGAAACGTGCACGTACGCGAGGAATGGGCCTACGTGCATGCAAAACTCGTGGAAAGTTCGAGGTCTTTGTCCTTGAGGCGATGGCCGCTTTTTTTGGGGAACGAGTTGGACTCCGTTGACTAAAGCGCAGAAATGTGATCGTTAAACTTTGGCAAAGAAAATTGTATGCGATGTGGCGCCATTTTTTTTATGAACAGAGTGATTAACTGATTGCTTCGAACAATCATCAAAAATCTGAACGTTATCTAACAAGAATGGACCATTTTTCTGTTGCAGATACGCGATCGTGTGGCTGATGTCTATCACGTCGCTGCAATGCCAGGTAAAGATCGTCTGTACTAGTATTTGTTTCTTAAATATTGTTCTTTGATTGTCGAATGTAATAAAAATGTGACTCTTAAAGGGGACCACTCACGAGAACACGGAGGGCGAGGGAAACGCAGAGGACCCTGTCGTGGACGAGACTACCGAGGATTACTGGACCGGAAGCGGATCTGGTCCCGAAGAGGATGACCCGCTACGCAACGAAACCAGAGAAGGGTTGACGCACGAAGCCAGTGATCACGACGCCGTGAGTATCATTACATAGTCAAACACGATTTCACGACACGTCGATTCGTGAGACACGCGTGCACGCGTAACCCGAAGCCGTACGAAGCTTTGGCTGCGAGTTTGTTTAGGGTTTAACGACCTGCCTCAACCAGGGATGGCCAGAAGAGGGAAAGAGGATTTGCGTTACTGATTTTACCTCTAAAAACAACCATGACTAATTTTAATTCATGATTTCCAATGCTTTGCTATGAAGTATTTAATTCTATGCTTCAAATTTCAATTGCGTTTTCGAAGAGTATTGCCCATCTTTGGTCTCGAGTATCGCGATTCTGGGAACACCCGTTACACAGAGAGTCGCGTATAGTGTTAGAAGTGGTGTCAGCCATCCTTCGACAAAGTTGAAAGATTCCCCTGGCGGCGTTAAAAATAAATAAAGACTTCCTGAGAGAGCTTAACGTATTCCTCCGTATCATCGATTACTCGCGTGACGGAGAAAAGTGAAAGACCAAAGGAATCGATCGATCGTTTCAGATGCGTTCGAATAATGGTTAATTGTGGAACGGATATTCGCCAAGGAATACTTACTTACCAATTTGGTTGCATGCAGCAAAAAAAAAAAGATGTAGAAGATACGTCTAACTTCGTCACGCTTTAGGAGTAAATTGTTCTGCTTGAAAGAAAAAGGAACCTGGATTAATATTACTTCTTCACAATTTAATTTCGAGTACCTACTTATTCTCACTTGCAGTGGTTACTTCCACGCTACAATATTTAAAATAATTAAAATATTCAATGTACGTGTGCGTACATTGTATCTATCATCCTATCCTTACAGAAATAGAAAAGAACTCCTCAAGAATCAAAAGTGGATAAAATAGTAAGAAATTATTTAGGAATTGATTGTGCTATGATTTTGTCGCGGAGTGTACGCGTTAGGTACCATAAATCGAATCGAAAATAATCAAGCCATGGTGAGCAAACAGCTGTAGGTCAGGGACAAACCTAACAGACTGTCCAGGAGACGATAGGTGCATTCACCCAGCCAGTCTCACCGATCGCTGTCGGACTAATGACTTTCGACACCCTAACCGCGCGACCGTTAATCATCGCATGAGCGCGCGTGTCACGGCGGGAGCAGAGAGACCAAAGGCAACGGACTACGGAAGTGAATTATGTTCTTAAAAGGAGTATTACATTCGCGAACGTCGAGTCGCGTTTACGGTGACGTGTGAGACTGGTTTAGAATCCTATTGGATAGCAACGAATATTGGAAATGAGCGATAGAAATTTAGATAAAAGAGCTACAGAATATTTACTTAAAAGAAACTTAGGACGCTCTATTTTCAATGTTCTTCAAAGTTACACATAAATCATTTCTTTAAACAGAGTCTTGTTTAAGAAACTCGAGTTCGAAAACTTTATAATAAATCATATTTATAGCCATGGTTATCACCGATGGCTGCGCTTTCCGCAAAGATTACCACGGGTAAGATCCTCTTTTGTCCACCAAGTATCATTCGAGCATGATCTCAATTGGCCTTAAATGCCTAAAACGAGAGGAGGAACGATCTGGTTTCGAGGAAGCGGGTCATTCGTCGAGCCGAATCCTCTTCCGCGACGCGGCATTCCATGTTGGAAGCGTTCCTCAAAACGATGCCTCTAAAGACCACGGAGACCATTCGAGTGGCTCCCTATAAACCCGAGAGACAGAAGATACTGTTCAGGAACGATCCTCTAACTACTCCAGTGGCCCATAAACGGCTCGAAGCTGGCTTTCCGTCTTTCTTCGGGCGCTCGAGTTCCAGAGATTCCTCAAACGTGAGCTCCGTGAAAAGCAATAATTTCCCATCGCTCTAGAACAAATAGAACGCGATAAGACTGCTCCGTCGCGATACTTCGTGGTGATTAAGAAACGTTATTTCCCCTCCTCTGTCATCGAATTTCGTGTATTTGATTTAAAACGATAGAATTCATTCAATTTTTTGTCAGGAGGGTTTGGTCAGATGGTTGTAGGGTGCGCTTGAGGTTTAATGTATGCTCGCAAATGCTTATTTGTGTAGATATACTTGACATCAGAAAAGTAGGATGAAATACAAGATTAAATGTAATTAATCTTGTCACTTTTACCATTAGTAGTTTTAAATCTGCACTTTGGATTTAATTTCGCAAGTCCCTCGTTAATAGTTACGTTTCCATTATTTTTCCCTGATGAGTCTACGTCTTAATTATCGAGACCTCGAGAACAAAGGATTCATTAGCCTCGGGATTCATTTTACATAAATTTATCGCACGAAGAGTATCGACACAGTGATAGCCCCATGGCAAGAACCACCGTGGAAACGAAGAAGAATCCCAGGAGCGTGGAACGTGAGCGCGAGGAGAGCAGAGGCGACACAAGAAGATGGCAGAAGAAGAGCGTGTAACAACACGATTGTTTCTACGGGTGCCGGCATGTGGAGGCTGTTCGCGACTTTTTAGCGCTTGTCGGCGTTTACCACCGACCACGCGCCTCCTTCCACCTGGTACACCTGACCAGGCTACCTGTCGACGCACAAGTGGGAGAATGTCGCAAGAAGACCGAGGAAATTCTCCGCTGTTCGCTTTCTTATCGATGCCGGCGACTGGTTCACGCTAATTGTCGATGCTCGACTGGAGTTGCTAATTCTTCTTAACACGTCCCCTTGCTAACGATTGGAAAATGGCATACCGCACGTTATGCCACATTTGCAGGAATTTTATTCAATGGTTGTTTGCACCGATAGTGCATTCAATGCTTCATTTAATTCATATTTATTTAATATTATTTAATATTAATCATTGGCCTTCGCTACGTACAGGTATATTAATCCTCTATTGAATGGATTCTTAGTCATTTATATAAATATGGAAAAAAATATTTTGATAACACAACTGGGAAAACTAGACCTACCTAAAACATTAATTTAATAATATTCCATGAATTAATTACATCCTTCTATACAATTCGATTTGTCCAATAATATTCTTCAAATTAAATTCGTCCCATGAATTCGTTCATTATACGATACTCTATCATTTTCTGCATCAAATAATATTACACGAACGAATTGTACGTTATCATGTGTAAACACGCGGTAGTGAACATGGTAAGCAAAACTGCAGTTATGCGAACTAGTACTTAGCGACAGACATGCCATACATTTCTCGAGAACGGCATGTGTTCAGTGGACAGCACGCAGGGAAATGGACTGCCTATGGTCAGACGCGTTTAGTGATCAATACGACGACACCTGTGACCCGGCGAGATCAGTCATGGAAGGAATTGCGAGACGTACTGGGTCAGACATTGTAGCCAACTGCGCAAAAATTGCTCGACGATGTCCACATTCTACTTACTCACGCTACCTCATTCCTCCTAATCTCTTCGATAGCCCTGGCACACATGCGTACGTTTGGTCTTTCGATTATTGTCAATTTCCTAACGGGGAAGTAACCACTTCTGAAGTAATATTCAGGACTACAGTTGTCGATACTACATGTGTTGACATCAGTGTGCATTTTTTCGACGAACAAATATTTATCTAGATAAAAATTTTTACCCATCACTGTCTGGGACACTGTTCAGTAGAGTACGCGCAGTGAAAACGGACCGTCCATGGTCAGACACATATTACGAGTCGTACCACAGAGACTGTAACCCTCGATTACTTTTCGCGAGTCAATTAATGAGTATTTCTAAGAAGAATTATAACTATTCGTAGAATCTTAACTCACTTTATTAGCTGATCTCCTCTTTTATGCGAAGGTGGTGTACGTTGGCGAGGGCGCAGCGTACGTCCCGGTCCCATCGTTGAAGGGACGACCTCTGAGTCCAAATCTCCAAGCCCTACAAACACTGCAGGGCTTGCAGGGTATCCCTGGAGGTGGGGGGACAGGAGTGATCGGCGACGACGACTGGAAGAGGCATCCGGAGACTTGGGACCGCGAACACAGGAGATACAGACCCAACACGACACGAGTTCAACGTGAGTAAAAGGATTATAAATAAATTCATGATTGAATCATGTATACTATATACAGTCAACCCCATAAATATTCGTAACTTCTATGTCTATTAAAGAAATCTATTTAAATTAAATAAATGTTTCATTATAAATATGTACATGAACAATCTTTACACTTGTATGTATTTATAATGAAATATTCATTTGAAAATATCAAACTTATGGGACTGACTGTAGGTGTGTTAAAGAACTGGCACTATTGACACGGTCTGAACAAATATTTAAAGTTAATTCCAACTTTGATCTATTAAATTAATTAACGATTATTGGATCGTTAATTATTCACACTACTAATTCGTCTCTCAAATTTCTTCTCATCTTTTTCAAACAAATGATCCCTTAAAAATCTCACTATCAAACATGAAGTCCCCCCCAAAAATGAAGCTCACGATAGTTTCCAGTCCTTCGATCGTCCATTTCATTGAGACAAAAGGACCCCTAAGCTCGATCCTGCGGATCGGAGACTGCATTCCGACACGACAGCAGCTGCTTTCACCCTCGTAGACCGTTATCGCAACACACCCGTCATTATTGCTGTTTCTGTGGCTCGCGGGAGATCGAACGTCGCTGCTGCCTCGAGCCAGGAAACGATCGAGGCCCGGCGATCGATCAATCGAGAGGAATCGGGCCCCAGCGTCGCCGGGACCGCGTCGTCCCCGACACTCTGGGATCCAGAACGCGATGGCGAATGGCTACCGTTAGAGTGGACGCAATTAAAACGGTGTCGGGAAGTCGTACAACACTCGAGAGTGCGCCTTCGACGTCGTTGTCCTTCTCTCAAGGCGTCGACGCCTCTCGTTCGATCGCTATTATCCGGCTCCTGGATCGCCGTGATCAAAGTCACCTCTGGTTCCTCCTCACCCTCCCCTCGAGAACCAGTGACCCACGATGGCTGCAATTTTACAGATTGCTCGTCCTATACCGATCGCGTTCAGGAATCTTGTCTCGGGGAGCGCTTGGAATTCTTTCGCAAATCCTTCATCGGGCGTGCTTTATTGCTTCCCGAAGACGGAAGGTGAAGTAAGTGGTTGCAGGAGTGCGTTGGACAAGGAGTCGAGTAGTTCGTATTCCGCATCGATGAGAGAATAATTGTGCTTTCTTAAAATAGAAGACTCCAACCCGAAAGAATTCTGTTCAAGACACGAAACATCTTTGGAAATCCTCGTCAAAAGTGACAATAAATGACCCTCAGAGTGTACGATATATTCTCTGCACTTTTTAGATATCCTTTCTATTCCTGATCAATCCTTTAAAAGAATCGATTCGTCGCGCTTGAACCATCGTCAACGAAAACCGCGTCATGGATCATCGTCACCCTCGCGGAGGAGCTTCCCCGAAAAGCATCTGTCCACGTCCATGCTTACGGATGATGAATCCTCCTCGTTCATCGCGACCACGCGGCAGGCTCGATGAAGTCATAAAACCTTTCGCCGCGGGAAACGTAAGGCCACCCGCGGTATCGTCAATTACGCCAAAGAAGGCCCATTAGGTTTAACGTATCCCTCTCTGCTCGATTCAACGACCCAGGGCCCTCCCTCTTCGTCCCCATCCCCGTCGCCGTCGCTACATTTTTCTTTTCCGACAACCTCCACGAGACGCTCGCGTTCCTCGGGGTCAAAGAGTCGCGGAGGCAGCGAACGCGACTGCATTCCGCTTAAAAGTCAAGAACAAGAGCGATTAGCGACACAATTCCTCGACCATTGGGCTGTCATCCACGTGTAACGATCCACTTCGCGGCAGAAAAAGATGATCGAGACAGATACGCGGCTGGTATTTCCATAATTGGTTCTCGGCAACTCGGTTTTTATTTCTCTGGCCCATTTCGCGCGCGCCGCAATCTCGCCACTGGCTGAGAGAGTAATGAGATTTAAATGGAAGGCTCTCGAGACTGCTCCAGCTCGTTTGGATTCCTCGTACGGTGTCGTGTACTTTTCTTTTCGTGGATGCAATATTTCGTGCGGTTTGTTTGTCGAATAGTTTCTTCGTTCAAATGTTGCGGTCGTTCAAGAGGTGTAATTTTCTACGCGTTGAATACCGTTCGATGCTTCTATCTTGATACCCGTAACGCAAAAACCACCTTTGGGGTAAATATTTAGGTTGATTCGTATCGAATATCCTTTTTCCTGTGCTCGGATTGACCGATGCCAACCGTTTTAGCTGGCCCTCTTGCTTGATAATCATAGTAGAACTCGATTTGTTCCAAACATTTCTAACAGTTTCATTATGGTAACTGGTATTTCCTGTAAACACTGTGTATAAAGAAACAAGATCAATTGTTTCGAATTAAAAGTAAAGGACCAAGCTTTGTTTTAATAATAATAAATTAAAGTAAAAAGAATTCTGTTCAAGGTACGAAATATCTTTGTAAGTCCTCGTCAAAAGTGACAGTAAATGGTCTCCAGAGTCAGCTTCTTTAAAGAAAGATCCACCAACCCTGTCACGATTTTCGGAAAATAGGGTGTCCACGTGGACGGAAAGAATCAGAAAACCGTTGGTCGATGACGAGTGAAAGCGAAGGAACGGGAGAAGCCCTCCTGTACGCGATCTTCGTGGTAAGGGGCCGTTTCCAGCGTACGTCGACGTAATCCAGCGGGAGTGTGGAAGATGGACGACCGCAGATGGAGGCTGGCGATAGTCACACCTGGGATATCCCTCGATGATACAACTTTTCGCCTACGCCCCCTCCATCCCGCGTCGTTCTCGCGGTGCATGCGTTTTCGAGACGGTATGCACGCGCGCTGATCACTATTGCGGATACGTGCTTTGTGTTCATCGGCCGGCAAAACGACCAAACGCGAACAATGGAAACGATTGCGCAACTCGGATACCCGCTCGAGTAGTAGGGGAGAGGAGCGTTCCTCGACGAGATTTCAAGATTCCTCGCTCCTGATTTTCGAGGAAAATAATACTCCAATTCGGGGTGAAGCTTATTAATAGGGGATAGAATTTAGAGAGGTGATCGTGAACGAGGAGCATGGATTCTAGGAATTAGTTTGATGGTTCATCGTTAAATAATGCCACTGTCACTGTGGGTTCTATGTACGAGATAACAAGTGTTTACTCCACTGAAATACTTTCATAATTTAAGTGTATATCAAGGACACTACTTGACATTCCTAGATGCGATATCTTAAGCGCCAGCAATTAAGTAGTACACTGTGTATCGATATGAAGAATTACGTTTTATCTTGCCGCATTATGCTATCTTGCCATATCTAACTTGGAGATTCTGTTGCAGACATCGAGGCAGAGTGCCAGGACGACTACATGAAGATCAGGATTGGGTTCAACGGATCATTCTCCGGACTCCTATACTCGGCAGGTAAGACAAGCTCCCTTGGGCATCGCTAAACTATGAAAGGACGTACCTCCGGTGTCTTTCATGTGTTCATTCGGAGACATCCACGAGTCAGCTAAAGTCACTTTTACAGACTTCGAGGATCGATTAATTCATCCAGGCCCACCCTCGATAAAAACCCAACCGTCCTCATTTATTTTTGCTCCAAGCTTCCTCAGCTAAATTTTTCGCCGTCTAATTTCCCGCACCGACTGGTTTTTGACCAGGCGATGTACGTGCCCGCGCCGGGCATGTTCCCGCGGACGTGCCCCCGAGCAAGAGCATTAAAGTCAATCGAACGGATATCACGTCGCAGGCGCGGCGCTGGCAATTATATCCGCGGACACGAGGATCGAACTTGCTACGCGCTGAAGAGCTAATAGCAGAAATTATCGTTCTCGCGGATCGCAACCGGAGAATTTTCCTTTTTTTTCCAGCTAGGCCAGGTCCAACCACGGTTGGACGGTGTGCTTCCGTTATTTTGAAACGAGCGTAACGCGTTGCGTCCCCGTCGCTGGCGCACGCGATGCGCCTGGAAATAGCGCGTCCTTGTTGACCAGCCTCGTAACTCGCTGCGCAGACTATACCGACGTGCGTGTGTCTCTCCAAAACCAGAACGAACCATTATTCGTGTTTGCTATTGTCTCTGTTGAGTATCTTCACATGGGGGGTGTGACAGAGGGGCGGAAGATGCTTGGATTTCGAGAAAATTAGTGGAATGCGTCACTTTGGGGCTAGCTTTAGTAAATAAAAATTGGTATGAGAAGCTTGGAGGAATTAAAGAGGGTGGAGGAAGCTTGGATTTCGAGAAAATTAATGGAATGTGTATTTTTTGGGGTGCTTTAATAAATAAGAATTGATGTGAAGAAGTTGGAAGAATTAGATGGTCACGAGTCTTGTAACTTTAAAGTAGGGTTTCGTGGACCCAAGGTTATGAAAGTTGACCACAACTGCTGATCACACTCGACACCTGGGACAATATTTATATCCAGTAAATACCTACCCAAGGTAATACAGGTCTTGATATTGTTCAACAGTAATTATGATTACTATTTGTGAATGTCCGCCCTTTCTTGGACCTAAAATCTCCAATTACATTTCATTCATGCTCCCCAATTTCCATCACCACCACAATCTACCCAACCTGTCATAAGCTGGTCACTGAACCTCCGTTCCCCCCTCCTCCGAACAAATACAGCTCTTCTACTCTCAGAAAATCAATTCGCTTGTCAAGGTTGCATCCCGTACACTATGCATCTGTTAAGTCGCGAAGGTTACAAAAATATACCCGTCGGGTACCCATGAGTTAACCCATTCGCAACGACACTGGTCACGCGCATGCCGGCCCTAAACGGCGGGCAATCGGATTACGTGGCGAGTGTAAAAGCGAAATACGCGGCCGAGGCGTTGCGTGAACGTCGAGCATCAAGAAAAAAAAAAAGGAAGCAAATTTCTACATTTGCGACTGCCTGGCGGAACGTTATCCGTGAAAATGGTTCGCAGGCTTTGACGCGACAGTATGTTCTGTTGCGAATGGGTTGAGAGAAATTCCTCCAGATACCCCCCGTGGACAGCACGGTAAAAAGACTGGCCGGCCTTCCGGGTCCCGTGTCGGAATCGTCACACGCTCGACACAGGGTGACACGGTGCTTGTGATTTCCCTATAACTCTTTCCGTCTTCCTCTTATTCTGCCGGGATTTCTTCTGGGGTACTCTTTACATTCCCATGGGAAACATAGGCTACCGAATACTTGGAAAGATCAGCTACGAGTATTATTAACCCTTTGCACTCCGAATTTTCTGATTCCAGTACATGTTTGTCGAGCTTCACTCGATATAGGATCGCAATGCGTTAAATAATATCAAGTTTCCTTAGTGTCATAGAGGACAAGATTATAGACCCTTCCAAAACCCAATAAAGTTTTCGCGAAGAGCCACTCAACAAAAATGTTCTACAAACAAAGGTTTATTACAAAATAAACAAAAGTACAAAAAGCCTTTCGTGATGCTCGAAGACAGAGTACACCGGCGTATAAAAGTGATCTCAGATGTCACACACATCGGTTGGTCCTCGCAGGCTCGGGTCTCAGAAGAGCCAACCTAAGGCACGCAGGGGAGTTGAGGACAATCGATTTTAATTGCAGGCTATTCCTACGACCCGGACTGCATGTACGTGAACGGGACGGGCCGCGATTACTACGAGTTCTACATCCAGCTGAATCGGTGCGGCACCCTCGGTGAGAACACTCATCATCAGGACAGCAGAAAGAATCCTACGGTACGTAAAACGGCCCGGTACCAAAGAACGAAACGGCGTGGCTCGTTACGAGCCCAGCGTGGGGCACCAGCGTCTTTTGACAAGGAGTAATAATGATTAACATCCGTGGAAAAATACACCTCCCCCCTCTTCGTTCTTATTTCGAGATACGTCCACCCAGAGTCCACGGGCGTTTAACGATCCTTGTCTCGTGACTGGACGTATTAATACTGGCGAAAATCGTAAAAGGCGTGCCGATGTTAATAATTCTGTTAGGTACCCGCGTAGGAGTCATTAAACGCACGTGAACGCACGGTGATTTATACCTCGTTGCCTCGAAACGTGTCAGTTTGTCTGGACAGCGATTAAGACGGCATATGTACACCCGGGGGACTTGATTTACTTGTATGTACTTAATATTCATGGTCGAGCTCGTGTGGATACAAGCATTACGGTTTTGCTGCATGAGGATCTATTATTTGTTATTATTACCATTAAACTATGGGCGAATAAATTTGTCGACGATGTTACGTTCGTTCCACTTAGTAGATCCGTTATTTATTTATATGCAAAATTTGTTATATGTCCAGTACAATTTTCGAATTTAATTTAGAACACTGTACAAAAAAAAAATCGCACTTGATAGAAAGACCCGTTTCATTAGGCATGTTTCAGAATCATCAATTTTTCAAATTTTTCAACTATGCGAATATCCTGTTGCGTGTTTTGCGTTTCGATGGAGTTCGAAATTGCTACATTGTCCCCATAATCGATATTCTGTATCACGGGCATCGGCTCGTTCGGTTCGAGGTATTTTAAGTGCGCCGCTTTTGTTCGGCGATTTTATTCTCGCGATTTACGACCGTCGTCCTGCTCGTTTCAGAAAAACCTGATGTGGAACACCGTCACGGTGCAGTACAACCCGCTGATAGAAGAGGAGTTCGACGAACACTTCAAAGTGACTTGCGAATACGGATACGACTTCTGGAAGACTGTCACCTTTCCGTTCTTAGACGTCGAGTGAGTAAGAAATCTGCGCCGCGCTTCCGTTGAATTTCCGCGGGACATTGTACGGATTCATGCTGAAACCTTGTCGCGAACCCTCCCGTGTGTTTTTGGTCCATGTCACCCTAACGCGCCGCTCAAAGCATGCCGCGAAATACGCACTTCTTCAGGGAGGGTTTATACCGAAGGAAAAAATAAAACATCACCTGAGATTTACATCTACAGCCAGTCCCGTAAGTATTCGTACTCTCTATATTTATTCAAGAAATTTGTCTAACTTAAATGCCAAGTTTGATGTTTTCAAATAAATTTCTATTATAAATATATACATATGTAAAGTAGGTTCATGTATATGTATGTATATATATCCATAATGGAACATTTATTTGGAAACATCAAGTCTATCATATAATTTAGGCAAACTACTTCAATAGGCATAGAGGGTATGAATACTTATAGGACTGACTGTCTATGGAGTACACGATACAAGTAGTACGTTCCATGTTAAAATTAATGCACTTTTTTTTGGAAATCAAAAAGCAATTTTTATCGAACAAACCTTCAACACAAAGTACATAACAAAAATTAACAAAAGTATTATGCCCCTTGCTGCATAATAAAACTGCTATTTTGTTCAAACAGATAGCGAATTTGTGTTTAAGATGCTTCTTTACATGAAACCTACGTTGCTACGGGATAAAACACCTGCGTTTTCTATCATCCAATCGTATTTTAATGTCCATCGACTAAATACCAGATGAGGATCTGTTTACGGTGAAGTTCGTCGCTCGTAAAAGCTATTTAACCGAATAAGAGTTGCTCGTCGCTTGCCCTACTGCCGACTAACGGGTTCCGGCTCGGTTATTTCATAATCCTAACGCAAAGTATCTTCTTCCAGAGTGGCGACGGGAAATCCCGTAGTGTTCACCCTGCAGCCGCCTGAGTGCTACATGGAAATCAGATACGGTTACGGGACCACTGGAACTAGAGTGGCTGGACCAGTTCGCGTCGGCGATCCTCTGACTCTCATTATCTACATGCGCAGCAAATACGGTACGCAAGCGTAACTGCACGCGTTTTCGCTTTACGCTCGTCCTCGTCCCTCTCGTGCATCTTCTACCGGAGGTCTAATCGCGTGGCGCTACGTAACATCTGCCGGGTGTTATTCGCCAGAATAACGGGACGAGACCGAGAGCCACGCTACCGTGCGATTTTCCCTTCGAGGATCTAAAATTAGACGCGGAGCGTTTTTCCCTCTGGGGGATCGATAGCTGTGCGAGGAGCGGCTTCCGTCTTCCATGACGTTATTTTCCGGGACATTTCCACCCTCCCCCGAACTTGTCTCCCTAATTCCTAACTTGTCTCCCTAAGAGGGAACGCCCAAACATCTCGAGTATGCGGAAATCTTCATATTCGGGTCTGGCCTTCGGATATCATTTTCTAGCAGAAAGTAATCCTGATATTTACGAATTTTTTCTGTAGATTCTAAACGTACGATACAAATGTCTCTTAGGGGGATTAAAAGAACATAATTTGAGGAATATTTCTGGCACTTTTCATAGTATAATAATATGTTAAGCTATCCAGAAAATACAGGCGCTCAACTAAGCGTCGCTTTTTGTTTGGTTAAGCACGGAGAATAATTCGATTCGAGCCACGGGTGTAACCGGCTATAGTCAGCAATAAAAGCTCCGACTCGCATTATTATTTTCTGTTCATCTTCGATTGAAGTTAATGCATCCGCGAGGATCTGTAAATCATACATTTTGAACGCCATGAAAACGTGATTTGATTTCATTTTAAAATGCTGAACTTGCCCGTGGGTCGAAAAGAAATCTTATGCGATATAAAAGGAAAGTTGAAAGAGTTGAAATAATTTAGTGCCACCTTGGAAATCCAATAACCCTCGACAAAGAACGAAATTATGTTAATCTTACCCAGGGATTGAAAGTATTGTTTCTTCGACTACACCTAAGTAAAACAAACCCTTCTTCGCCTCAGCAGATGGTTTCGACATTGTCGTGAACGATTGCTACGCGCACAACGGCGGGAATAAGCGTATCCAGCTGATCGATCAGTACGGCTGTCCCGTGGATGATAAATTGATCAGCAGATTCCGCGGATCCTGGTCTGAGAGCGGCCTCTTTGAGACGCAAGTGTTTGCCTACATGAAGACGTTCAGGTTCACCGGCTCCCCAGCCTTGTACATCGAATGCGACGTCAGGATGTGCCACGGGCGATGTCCAGTGAGTGCAAACGATTGTTCTCCCTACATCCTCCTCTACACACTCAGAGAATTGCCCGTCCACAGACGGAAGAGATATGCAGAAAATGCTTGCGGCTTCCTCCACGTTTATTCTCGACGGAGTTGAATTAAATATTCCCTCGTATCTCTTGTCTTTCCTTTGCTCTCGATTCTTCAACGAGTTATTCACACTTCGTCCCAGTTATTCATGCTTTTCGTCACCTGTTGCTACCTTCGATTATACAGAGCCAGCCGTGTCACTGGAGGAACGCCAAAAACGTGGCGAAGCGGTCGCTGCCAGAAATCGGGTCGTCGACACCAGCGAGCAGTTTGTCGGAAAACGTGAACCTTTTCCAGTCGTTGCGCGTGCTCCAGGAGGGCGAGGCCGACACGGAGTTCTTCCAAAATTCCACCACAGCATCCCGAAGCGGTAAGACTAATTATCCAAGATTGCTTAATAATACAAACACTCTTGCAGCTCTTTAAACAACGATAAAGATTATAATAACACCCCCTTTTCGCAGGATCCAGCGAACTGGCGAACGATAGAGTCTGCCTAAGGTCAACGGTTCTCAGCACAATGATAGGGATTGGTTGCGGTTTCCTGTGCATAATGGCAGGCACGATATTGGCCATGTGTTCGCGAATGCGACGACAGGCTAGGGAGAAGCTACTATCAGACAGCATAAGCTACATGACCCACAAGGGTAGAATCAACTAAACCTTCTCGAACGCGCAAGCGAGTCTCTCTATTACAGGCATGTCCATGGGTGTGTCCCTCGCCTAATTCCGCGGTTCATTCCCCTCCCACACGCCCCAGTCGATAAACATAGCAATCTACGATGTTCCTGCCTTCGATAGGACAATTTTGTTAACAAAAGAATAGGCGGTACGTAAATTTTCGAAAGAGACGTTCGAATCGAATGCGTATCGCGACACCTGGCGGCGTGTGACGCCAAGCTCACGGGACAAAGTGAGGGAAGGGACATGCCTGCCCTCTATTTCCTTCTTATCGGTTGTATCTCCGTCGGTACGTGCGCATCCGTCGCCATCGATGAAGATATTTTTTGTCGATAACGCGAGGACCATAACCGCGTCGGTAAGGAACCACGCGAACGGTGAAAGTTACATCGATTCGGTTGGTAAACAATGAGTAGTGTTGTCGACGGTCGATAAGTAAACGAGGAGTACATAAGTGTATGCAAAATTTGTGTATCTAAAGTGACGATTACTTAGGACGGATTAGTAAATTGTAAGGGAAATCGAACAATTGCCAAGTATTGTGATACATGTGTCGATTAGGTGTACGTTGGTATATTTTTGATGAATGATTCGCCGTCGATATAGTGGAATGAAGACCCAGTTAGGGATATCGTTACCGACTGAAGTCGTGCTTCTTCTACCGACGACGCTTTCCCCTCGTATCTCTGTCTTTCTCTTCTACAATGAAAGATAAACGCTTGAAAGTTTATCACGCGTACGAGCGAGTTGCCGTCCGTCGATAATATCGACGCATAGGCGAATTTAGCAGTCGAGGATTTTGCCACGGTCTCTGCGTCGAGCGCTCGAAAGGTAAAAGCTTATCTTTGGATGGCAAGCCAGCATCTGCGGACGATAAAAGGAATACCTGTTTCGGATGCATTCGATTGCTTTACCATAGTCTTTTCCTCTCGCGCGCGCGACATTTTAAGAGATCAAAATAGATAGATACGGGCACCTAATGCCGCCGATGAGATTCAGTAGTTTAAGTATGACCAATAACATTACTCGCCATATTCAGGAACGCAAAAAAATGAATGAAATCTCGAGTTGCAACTTGAACAATCAATTCGAAGCTTAACAGTGGGAACGATGCAGAGAATTAAAACTTGCTGATTCCTTGGAGTGAAAAGGGTTAAATTAGAAATCATTCTTTTGTCAAAAGCGCGTTGTTTCGCTTTAACCCCTTATTGTACGATTTAAATATTCTTTGACTGATGAAGGTCGAAAAGTAAAATGAAAGAAAGTTTGTAACTGTTTTAAACAACATTCTACGTGGTAAGGGATATACATATTCTCATGAGAAGCTGTATCGCCGATGGATTAAGGGAAACTCGACCGACTGACTGGTTTCGTAACCGAGGTTCCTGAATGTTCGCGGATAATGCCTTAACGTATGGTATACATATCGCTATTATAATAAACAGCCACAATATCTAGGTTTACACTATCATATGCATATGGTATATACAGCGTCAGAACGTGACTTGATTTCCTTCATTTTCACTGTTCTAATTTTTCTTTTTTTTTTTTGTTTCTTTTGTGCATTCTCGAGAAGCAGGAGCATCGCATAATCGCCACGAGCGCGAACGGCCAGAGAGGATTAAATAATATTTCACGAAACCACCCCCGCGCGTGCAGGGGGGAGCCAAAGAAACGTAGCCCAGCTCTCGTCTATAATTATTTATTCCAGAATTCCATCGATCTTTTCGCCTGCCTGTGAAATATTAATTTCCCCTCCTGGTCGTTCCCCAGACCCGTTAAACGTTCTCATCCAAGATCGAACGCCCGTAGTCACAACGCAGACTCCATTTTTCTCACCACGAGACAATCAGCAACACAGAATCCACCTGCTCGATCGAATCACTTGTAAATATAGTACCGTACGATGCATAATATTTATGACCAAGCTCGAGTGTATCAAGGTTTCCAATAAACAGTAGAAGGAGAGCCCGTGGTTTTTCCTACCTTGATGCCAAGTTTCTGTTACTTGTCTTCTAGACACTTTGGTCTAATTTTGGGCTTCTAAGGTGAGCCCAATTCGTGTTATCATAACATCACTCCGTACATCAGTACATTAAGTACATTAAGTACCTGTAGCTCGGGTACTTCGGGGTTGGTAAACCTGTACTGTTGCTGCGTATTCGCATGCTACAGTCCCTGAGGGTCGTAATATATTTCGAATCAGATGGACCGGAGCCTATTTAGGTAAGCTTACTAATTTCTGCATACTTAATACCAATTTTGAAATGAGACAATTCTAATAAATATAAATTGTTAGTTTACAGTAAGAGCTTTCGAAGATTCACGAGTCACAATGGGACTGAATCTTGACAATTTTATTTATCCACCGCGTTCGAGCAACTATTCATCAGGGAGCGAAAAACCAGCGTGACGAAAAGGGGACCCTACCTGGTCGATTTTGAAAAATTCGACGTCTCCCGTGTCACAATGGCCGCGCCACGGAACGAATCGTGTTTCCCAAACAGCGCATACTTCATCGGAGCGAGCTCTCAAAGATCGCCGCAAATGGCTCAGGTCCACGGTGGAAAAGTGAAAATCTACGCAATATCTCACCCGCAAAATGAGCAGGGACCGCCATTTGTCGTTCGATCCTCCTTCGATAACGAAAGAAAAATACGCTAGTTTGGAGAGGTACACCGTGGGGTTGCGTATTATCGATGCTTCGCTTACCACCGACAGGGAAAAGCGTTTTGAGCTATGGAGGAGGATTGGGACGGCTAATGAAAGAAGCTGTGGAGCGTGTCCGTCATTTTTCTTCGTTGCTGCCGTCACTGATAATTCAATGTAGAAAAAGATCAAGATTAGAATAATTATTGAGATGTATAGGGCAGCCTAGTCACGAGTTTTCTTAGTTGTAAAGTATGTAATGGATAATTTGTGTTCGTGGTTCATGGACCCTCGCCTTCTCGATAATGAAATTTATCTACGAACAAAATCCGCATATTTTCTAAGCATTCCACTTTTCAAGAAGATGGACTCGCGCCACTTTTCAGGATGAACGATTCGTATATTTATCGCCTAGTTCTATTGAAATTAAACGACCCAGTCCGCCGAGGGGGCCGCGGATCGATCGAGATATAAGCAACGCACGTATCGAATTACCAGCGGATTATCACCAGGCGAGGATCGACGCGTTGCCGTGGCGTACGATAATTATTTCTGCGTTAGCCATAATTATTGCCAGGGTGGCAATTAATTCCTGCCCGGGCGGCAATTAATTTATTGCGGCTTGATTAATCGCCCAACCGAGACACAGCCCGTTACTATGTCGGATCGCCCTTTCGCAGCGAAGTCGGGCGACCCTTTTCGGTAAAGAACTCGCGGAAGCTGCGCCATCTTCGTTAACTCTTCGAGCCACGGTGGCAAGTATATTCGCCACTTTGACCTCGCTCTTTAACCATTGGAAAGACGTATTTATTCAAACGAACATTGTACCCTGAACCAAGTAGAGGATAAACTATTGTATAAAAATTTTGTTGCGTTCATTAGATCGCGATAAACAATAATGGACACCTCGATTACGGTTTGTTTGAAACAATATTGTTTTAAAATCCAAACTTGCACGATATTATCTTTTGACGAGCTTACGACGATTGGAGTTGTTTAAGAACTCTAAAAATCGAGGAAATGGTGAAATTCGAATTCCCCTTCGCCTATTGCGGATAACTCGGACAGCAACTCAATATTTCAATCCTCTGCAGTATCTCGCGGCGAATTCAAGCGCGTACTCCTGGACGGGCAACTTCCGGTCGGAGAAACGCATCGTTGCACGAGCCTGTGGCACAGAAGAGGCCAGGGGAAGGGATATCAAAATGAAATCTCGAGGGTTAATAAATACTCGGTTATCGCGGCTAATCGTGTTATCGCGCGATGCCCAAAGGAAACGGATTCGCTGCTATATGGGGTGAGCCTGTGAAATCCGCGTCGAGAATCCTTTTTCTGTGAACTATGAAAAGATATTTTGAAAAAGACGTGACCATTTGAATATGGAAATGCGACGCGTATGTATCTCAATAATCTTTGTGTCTATATGCTGTTGAACTATTTTTTATTATAACATTTTTCGATTCTAGGAGAGAGGCTCGCGTAGTAGAGAATAAAAAGCAAAACAATTTCTATTCCAAGCTTTACACCAAACGTTTCGTTATTTTAAAATTTTCTAATAATAAAACATCTAACATCTCGCGTATCGAATCGGCATTCCTTCAGTTTCAAAGATGGCGTTTCCCTCCCAAATGAATCTCTTTCCTCATCAGATCAGATTCTAATTCTCCAGCAAAACAATTCACGAACATCTCTCTGCACGTACTCGAATACAGTCCAGCGCCGTCGTATATCCAGTATCCACGCTGTAAACCACGTCCTGTGTATGCACTTAATAAAGTAGAGGTGTGGAGTTCCGCGATAGCGGCTCGCGGAAGTTATGGTTCGACCGGAATCGCTGTTAGGTTTGTTGAATTACCGCCATCCGAATGCTGCACATAATTCGGCGACGCGAGTTGTTTCCCGCTTCTCCAGCCACGTGCAAACGATAATCATTTTTCGCTTCCCTGAACAACTTCCCTGGAGAAACGTCGAAGCATGGATATTCACGATTAACTCCGTCGTTTGTGAATTTCTGCATTACTAATACCTACTATTTCACTACTAAGTCTATCTATCGTATTCCTTAGAAATTTTGTACATATTTGATTGCTTGTACGTTTTAGAAATACTTCGATCTTGATTTGTAAATAATAAAATAGGTACACGTGACATAACGAAGAAACGAGTATACGTACATACTTCGTGTCAGTGTGGAAAGTAATGAAATTGACTTTTGGAGGTGATAACGCTGTCTGCTTGGCAAGATCCATGTAAACACCATTGTGCGCGATTTTTGGGGACCTCCACGAGCGTTTGCCTTTGATTAAATCATTTCACCGAACACGGTTGACTGGTTTTCGAGCGCAGATCCGCCTACAAGATTGCCCTCAAGCAGAGGGTGCTCCCACCGTCAGATAAACCCTGATAGATGCTCCACGGCGATTTCCACCGTGACCTATCTGCGAGCATAACTCAAGGCCTCTCGCGTGATTTCGCGTGATCACTGCCCTGCACCTATAATGAGATCGTCCCGGAGAAAAATGCACCAGGAGCATTCGTATAAAATACGTAATAGCATGATAATAGAGTACTCATTCATAGGAATAGTGGAAATAGTTCCATTAGAATATGTGGATTAGAAACAGTGTTTAAGCTTGTAAATCTTAACTTATTAAACGGAAGCACTCAAAGCTCTACATCGTCTTGAATTCTCTTCTTCCACCTCATTTCCAAAGCCTCCACCATTTTTTCGCGATCGTTCTAATAGTAACGCTTCGATTATTCCTCGAATTGCCGAGTTCCAGAAGCGAAGGTATGATAACGAGCCCCAGTCGACGATTCAGGACGACAAAGAGAAGAGAAGGTGGACGAACGAACGGATAGAAGAGCTGGAAGAACCAATAGAGCTTCTCGGTGTTGCTCTACCCAACGAACGCTTATCAAAGCCAAATTGGCACCTTCTTTTCCATGCTAATGGCGCCCTGCTCGAGTGGCTCGATACACGAGGAATCGATATGTAGGTACACGCCAGCGGAACTCTGTCTCCTCGCTATCGGTCGAGCCAATTATTCTCAAAAACGATAGCATCTTAATGAGAAAAATATCAGCGCCGCGATCGCGAAAATGATAGCGTCGGGGGACGTTAAAGGCGCAACATGTGTCGATGATATTCCTTTCGAGGGAAATCGGGCCGCGTCGACGACCATTGCCAGTTATTTTACTCTACCCATGAACGGCCACGAGTCCAGTGGCGATAAATGGAAACGGTAGCTGGGAAATTACGGTGGACGAAAGATCCTGTCACCTAATGCCTAACGCAGCCACTAAAAATAATTCAATAACATTAATAAAGATACAATTCTTAATTACTCGATAAAAAGCATTCTGCTCCCAACCGATTTACTTCAATAATTTTCTATGATGACTCAAAACCAAAGCAACCGACTCACGAGTCCTATCCAACAAATTTGCATCCACAACGTTTCATCAACCCCGAAGAACGTTTACCTCTAAATAATCTCATTTACCCCGAAATAATAAATAACCGCCCCTTCTATCCTCCTAGGTCCGTTTCGCAGCCATTACCGCAAATTAGCCGCGAAAGCGAATGCTCAATCGTCGAAACGAGCTCGCCATGTCCTTCCCCGAGCGGTGGACACCGGGGCGCTTCCTTTCTCACCCGAACACAGGGTGCAATTAAAATCCACAGCACGGTTAATCCGTTACCGATACAGCTCGTTGCGAGGAGTGGTCGGCATCGGCATCGCTCGGACGAATGGGAGCACGGGGTGCACCTAAGCAAGAGCCCCTCGAAGGATACTAACGAGCGCGTGGACGCTCGTTAAGGCGAGAATGCAAGGCAGTCGGCGTTAACGAAATTTACGAAGTCGACTTGGCGGTAACGAGTCGCCTTCTCGGCCTGCTTGGCCACGTTTCGCCGACCCACGGGGGAGACTCTTAATCCCGCGATCTCAGGATTCAATTCGAGGGAGACGGCGAAAAACCGGAGGAAGGGTGATCCGTCTTGGAACAAAGAAGGAAGGCTTCGAATCGTGGCTGCCGAATCTGCTTCTTTCGAGGACCGCGAGAGGAGCGAGGGTCGAAGGAAGGGGAGTATGCGCTGAGAGAAACGCGGAGGATCTGATTGCGATGGTGGATTTATTTTTCTGGGAGCCCGAAGGTGGCAACGAGGTGAGAATCTAGGGGTAGGAGTGAAGAAAGGAGGGGTGCGGAGGAACAATTTTTAAATGTGGGATTTATTTTTCTGAGAAATTCAAAGAGACAATGAGTTACAATTTTGGAGATTGTAGTGAAGATCACGAGATCTGACTTGGAACGAACGCCAAACCACCTAAAGTCAAAACCCCTTGTCAAAGACTTCACACACTATGTTTTGAAAATAGCGAAAAGAACCATCTCATGGCACTTAAAACATTTCCAGTGAAAGTTCCTCGCCAGTGTTCTCGCAGGTGTAAATCCACAATGGCGTCGGCTGTCCGCGTTTCATCGAGAAGGGACGCGAACACGTGAGACGGTAATCGCCGACAATTCGACCAATATTTTCGTGGAAGGATCCCAAAGGCTTCCACGA